CCATGTTGGCCGCGAGTTATGTGATAGGGAGGTAGGAACAATGTAGGATAGAATCTCTTCCAAGATTTCCTCTGGCAGAGTGCAGGGATTCAGCGGTGCGCTCTCATTCGACCCGGCATCAAACATGATTTTGTGGAGTGGCGAAGAAGTGGGGGTGCGCAAAACCTTGGAAAGAATTTGTGGTGATGTGTGGCCCATTTTAAAAGGGGGATACGAGTTCTCGTGTGTAAATGAACAACTGGTGGGTCCGTTCAAATACCCGGTGAATGCTTGAAATAGTTGGTGGTGTGGACGTTGGATAAGTTGACACGGTCTTCTTCGAAGTTTAGAAGCGATTGCGACGTGTTCGAACGATCCACCTGGGAGTCAAAGATTCTGAGATACTGATTAAGCTCGATGTCAAGGTCAAAACTAAGACAGTAGAGGCTGACTGAAACATCATCTTAGCAAGAAGCTTCGATGAAAGTTTACGAAATGAGGCTTACTTCGTTCGGGGATTGCTGTTCGATCTGGTTCGAAACGCAATGAAGGGGCAGGAATCGAGTCCTGGCACGGTCGGATTGAAAAGTGGTAGGCAAATGAACGTTGAGTTAAGACGGAGAATGATGATTTACGGCAATTTTGGTCAAAGTCGCGGGTGTGGGTAGAGCGGACGGCTGAGACACTGTCAAAGTTGGGATCCAGGCTCCTTTATATGAATTTGAGGATGTTCTTGAGTTCAAAGGCCTTTAATGAAAGTCCTTTGTTGGTTTATATACCGAGTTGGTTGAGGGGACCCAAAATAGAGTACAAGGTCAAAAGCACGACTAACAGTCGTCCGGGTCGGGTAACAATGTTGTTTAGCTTCTCGAACAGACTACTTTGGGATCTCAAAGTAAACGCGAAGTAGTTTTCCCGCCAGCGGATGTAGATGGTATGAAGGTGCGAAGGAGTGTGTGTCTAGATGGACTTGGGTGTCCTTGGTCAAAATCAGGACCTTAAAAAGCCAGCTTATTGTAGGCTTTTATTTAAGTCCACGTAGATGAAACGTTGTCGATGTAGATGTAGAGATAGAGGAGGAAGTGTCGTGGGGGTAAAGGAGAGCAATATGGACCCACAAGTGGCAAGATCACCAGCGGGTGCCACGAGGAAAATACATACTCATGACGGCACGAGAGCCCCCGAATTCTCGTCCCTGGCAACTAACGCTTGTACAAAAAGGGAACAAAGCTCGAAACAAGAGTTCGCAGGTTACTCAACTCCTGCATTTATTGTGCCTTAGCCACTTCGGAGGTTAGTTTATTCTACAACATAAGACTCTCATCCTATACAAATAAACAGAGCGATGACCTTAAGCTCTCCTCGCGTTGATGATGTCTATAAATTCAGGTTTCAACGAAGCACCACCAACAAGGAATCCATCGACATCCTGTTGTTTAGCTATGAAATCTCGAATATAAGCGCAAAGAACCGAAATTAAGAATTTTTAAAAGAAACACTCACCCAATTCTTTACAATTAGCAGCGGTCACGCTACCTCCATACAAAATCTGTGTCTCATTTGCCACTGAGGTCGAGACGGCTTTTGCCAAATAGGATCGCACATCGGCATGAGCTTGTTGAGCTTGCGCCGATGTAGCCACCTTGCCTGTCCCAATGGCCCATACTGGCTCATAAGCGATGACAATTTTGCTATTGTGAAGTATATTCGGCACAGTGTTTGCAGCGAAATGAGATGAGGTATTTACCTCCAGTCTGCTTCCTTGATGCCATCGACAACAGCTTTGAGTTGCGCCTCGCATACTTCCGCGGTTTTACCGGCTTCACGCTCTTGGAGGGTTTCTCCAATGCAAAGGATTACTTTAAGGCCTGCCTCAATTGCCGCTTTGGTCTTGGTGGCCACAAGCTCCGAGGTTTCGTGGAATATTGTGCGTCGTTCCGAGTGTCCTTTGATGAAAGATTTATGTGTCAAATGATCGTAGGCTGATCAAGATAAATAAAGTGCGTACCTAGAACCACGTATGGGATACCTGCATCAACGAGTTGTTTGGGGCTGAATCACGAAGTCATTGTGCGTACAAATTGAGTGGGCACAAGTAGGACGTACCTGATCTCTCCGGTAAACGCGCCAGACTCTTTGAAGTAGGCGTTCTGAGCCGCGACCTTGACTTCTTTGCGTACACTGTCAAGCACGGATAGTAGATAGATCGAAGGAGGCGCAATGACGACCTCTAGAAATAACGCCGACGGATTTATTCGTAGCAGACGGACAGAAACGATACATCAAACAGAAGAAAGAAATATTTTCAAGTCAGTAAACACATTCGAGTAGAAGGTAGCTTCAAATTCTACTTACCGGTGTTGGGGTCTAAATCACCTTTGTTCAGGACATCGATGAGCGATTTTGAAGCGGTAAGACTTGTTGGGTTAAGCTTGAAGTTGCCTCCGACGAAAAATTGGCGTGTCATGGTAATCTCGGGCTGAGTTGAAACTCAGAAATCGTTCCTTTCCGTTAGTACAGGTCATTTACTGACCTTCAAAAGGTTTGGTGAAGGTGAGGAGGAAGACTAGTCGGAAGGCGACGGCTTCGGATGAGGGAGATAAAGCACTATCAGCTACTGATGCGGATCAGATTAGATACGTCCGACACATCCGAGACCAAAGTATCGTTCAGAAGATGGAACAAGTTGGACGCAGTTAGGCTGTGATTGAGAGGTCTAGTTATACAACAGAGATAACAACTTGCACGGTCCGAGATTAGTATTCTTACTGATTATGGGGAGTCTCAAATATCCCGTTAACTTCATCGACGTTCAACTTGGATTTCCGCCCTTCCACCAGTTGTCGTAGGAAGCGCTGCCATTGACACCCTGATTGTTGGGAACAATATAAGCAAAGATTCTTTATATTCTTGCAATAGAGCTTACCATCGTGATGTACCCAACGACACCTTGCGAAATGACACCTCCCAGCATATGGACTTTGAAAACTGGGTTGTACCGCGACTCGATCCCTCGACTCTCATTGAAGATGTTCAAAGAGTCTTGTAGATTTCTCGTCCTTCCGATCGTGTGCCTGATCGGGTTTAACATGTAAGGGTACATCTTGTCCACCACCGTGTTGAGGTCTTCGTCGAAGAAGAACTGGCCGACGTGAGCAAGTCGATCAGCAGTGAAAGTATTATTTTCGTTAATTGGTGCCCATGAGGTAAATACTTTAGTATGGATGTGGGTCGCGCGTCCGGTATAGTAGCCAGGGTATATGGCTAAAAATTCAAGTTCAATTAAATGCGTTATGATGAGTTGCGCTTACTGCTGAATTGAGCCACTCCGTTTTTGTCCGTTGGGTAGGCACCTCTCAAGAAAGTCTCTTCTTGGATGGTCCGAGGAAAGCCTGCCCGTAGACCCTTTCGGGGACCTTCGGTCGCAGGTTTCTCATCTTCGAGACCAGGGCGAGGGTACGGGTGTCCAGCGTAGTAGCCAGTTGAGTTCGCTTGCCAGATGTCGACAAGAACATTCGGCATGGGTCGACATGTCTCTACGTCTATGACACCAATATCAAGGTACTACATGGTCTGAATGAGATATATAGTCTTGAAGCGCTGTAGGAGACCTACCAGAGGAAGTCCATCTTCGAACTCTGCAATATTTTGGCGGATCGGATGACCAGCTATATGATAATAAGGCCCTTCTGTCACTTCTGGACTCAAGACGCAGGTGTTGTTTTGAATGTAGGTGTCGGAGATAGGCGTGCATCTCATATGGGTATCATCGTCGGCTTCGCCATCTTCTGTGGGACTGGGAGTTGACGATATCTTTTCGCCGTCGAGATCAGCGTATGAGTCCGCTGAGAAGAGTTGCTGCTGATCAACGAAGCCATCTGCTGGGCTTGGGATGCTCGGGAAATCGTCGACGCCCCCAGTACCTGGAGTAAGATGGTGCCGCTTAGCGAACGCCTGCTTCCGTGCTCGGGTGAACGATTCAACAGCTGGGGCACACTGTAGATGCACATCATCAGCCCAGGAACTATCTGCATGCTTTTGATTTCAGACCAACGTACATGGTATGCTGCCCTCTGCAAAACTCTTTGTACCTCCTTCTCCTGCTCAGTCTTGATTTTCTTGTGCGCACTCGCCACTTCGCTGACTGCGAGTGTGAGAACCACCACGTTAAGAATGCCTTGCATTGTAAGCATCTTGAACTGCTAAAATCACTACCAGGTCGCTGCTAGAGGTTAAGTAGCAAAAAAATGAAAGATCCTCTCCTGCAGAGATATATAATGGTGGATCAAGAAGCTGCTCTGCATAGCGATTTATGGTAAAATGTTTAAGCTGCAGGAACCCAGAAGACCCGTCCGGCGGCAGCGGCAGTGTCGGACCCTATTGCCCATAGTCATGTTCGCGCCGCCACCCAACCTTGCGAACGACAACGTTTCGAATGACAACATTTGTTTTCAACTTGAACAACCATAGCTTCAGAAAGTTTATGCTTCCGGGAATATGCTCTTAACGTGAAACTGGAGTCATGAAGCGACTTTCTATGCTTGGTGGACTTGACCAGCTTGCCTTCTTGTTAACCGAGGCGTGCGCTCTGGATGCTCTTCGCCAGGGCATGGTGTGGCCAGACCACTGCTGCCTTCCGCTGTTATATGGCACGTTCTTGTGCTTGAGGGAGTTTAGAGCCGGAGAAGCCTTCACACCGAGGATCTGCCCACTTGAATGAATTCAAGAGTCTTCGTTACCCTCCACGCCGCTTACCAGGTCCAGCAAGAAAAGCTTCCGTATACATTCTCTCCCATATATGTACAGCTCATTTTGCCACCCACGGCCGTACTTGGCTGCCTTTCTGACCGCATGTCATAATCCTGGTTTCGACCTCACCACTCCCTTCGAATGGTCAACGATGCTTACTGTAGTCACCAGGTTCTCACCACATTGGCGAGAAGGCGGCACACGTGGAGTTACGAGTCAATGTCATCGATTATTGGACCTTAACATATTTACACATTTCCTTCCATCAGCGAGGCCGTGTGGCGAAATGGCATCGCGTCTGACTACGATTGAACGCGCATCAGGAGATTGCAGGTTCGACCCCTGTCTCGGTCATCTTTTTTTCGGTGGTTGGATCACGCTAACATCTCTCACTATGGGGTCCAAAGCTCTAAACAGCATTTTACTGAAGTGCACCCAGTCTCCACTCCCTTGTCCTTCAAGTTCACGGTTCCCAGATCTGATACTCTCTAGGCCTCTGCACATGATACAATAGGCAAAGATTAAGGTGAGTACATCGACCAGAGGTATCAGTTTCATTGGAAATACTGCATGTCGACTGAACCTCTATCATCTCAAGATATTTTATGTCTTGCGCTCGGATTGCCAGTCATCTTTTGGCGTTAAACAGAGTGGAGCTTGCTCCAAGATCTGCAGGAGTTTTTGTTTATTCAATTGACAAATTGATGAATATCAGAGGTCGACTTTACAATGAATGCCAAGGTGCCCTGGCCGGGGGTGCAATCGCCCGGGTCCAGGTAGATACTCATGCTGTATCTATAACTTTGTTAATCTTCTGCCGATGCATCCGTATACATTTGTATTTACCGCGAGCCAGCTAAGAGAAGCTTCCAAAACCTTAACTGACATCTTGGGCGGGTCTCCATTTTTTGCGAGAATTGACGACCACATAGTGGAACAAGTTCATGGTTCGGCCTGCTGGATAATTTTAGGAGGAATCCAATATCCAAATTCACCGATATGAGCTGAAATCAAAATAAATTCGATTGGAGCATGATAAGCCTCAGCTTTGGCGATATAATAAGTACATGCTGATTCTACTGCCCGGCGAGAGAGCTCCTTGAAGCCGGTATTCTACTCGACCTTATCGGACACTTCCTCTACGTCTTGAACTGGCTGTTCAACCGCCCCAAGGTCACGGGCGGCGATGCCATTCTTGTTCTTGTAGAAAATGATATCACCTTGGTCCTCAACGAAGACGCATTCGTTGAAAGATCTATACAAGGCGTAGAATGTAGGCTATCAAAGAAGTTAGAGCTAACGACGGAAATGTGGCAACGCAAATCACTCACGGTAGAATCGTAATTGTAATGATCCTTGAGAACTTTCTTCAAAGCTTTCGTTATTTCTGGGCCGTTATCTGTGTGGGAGTGTTAGTGCCAGCTATCGAACATTCTTGGATGAGCGTTCATACAAAACGGTGCTCGAAGGAAGAAATCTGGGAAGAAGGTTTGTCAGGATGGGACCACATCCAAGTACAAGCTCAAGAAATACTCACGATGTGCGACATGGTCGTGGCTAATGTTGTGGAAAAAGAAACGGCCCATCCATCCAAGTAGAGGACGGTCAACTGTTCCGATAGCACCACGAACAAAATTCCACGCTGGCTTGCGATAGTGAGGAATAGTAGGGTCCGTGTGGTGCAAGAACGTGAACATCACGATCCTAGGTGAGATATCACTGTCAGATTTTTGTTTAACGCCGGAGAAATCAAGGGTTCGTACCAATGATTTACAAGCTGATAAAAAAGCTTAGATGTAACTTCAAGCATTTAGGTAGACAATGAACTTACAATCCATGGCACCAGATAATACCACATGAAGAACTCTCCGCCGATCTGGTAGAGACCGTAGGCCCAGGCAGCGAGACCGAGGTTAGTGAGAATAACAGAATTTCCTGCAAACGGAAATTGCAAGGTTTCTCAGTCAACAAACACGCTCGAAAAACAAAACAGCGCCCATTGACTCACGTTCGTGAGGTTTGAAGAGAGTGGAGTAAGGATTGAAATGATTGGTGCCGGCTAGGTCTTTGGGGGAGCCCATCGCATTATTGCTATCGGTTCCCCGTTTAGCAAACCGAGGGATAAGAGAACTGATTCTAGTCTTACCCAAGGTAAAGCCACCATCCACTACATTGGTTTATGGTAAGCCATATTTGGCATGTCAAAGCGGTCAATTATGCTTACAGGGTCTGCATGATGAAGATTCGGGTAAGCGAGTAGATAGGTGTCTCTTCAAATGCCTCCAAATAGTCGGTTCTCGTGGCGGTCTTTTCATCAGGAAGCTGGTATTTGCCGCGAGTGTATGGGACGTAGTTCTCGTCTCTTTCCATGGAACCGGTGGCTTTCTTTTTAGGGGTATATTAGGAATCTTTCCCGATAGACAGGGGGGTCACTTGCATGATGAGCGTGATGTGTTGAGCGCCATGAAAAGTATGGAACAAGGATGTACTAAACATTATATGGTCAGATGATATACAGCGACAAGGTCGGAAAAAATACCGTGTGGAGAATAAAGCCGACTGTATTACTGACTAGTTTGCTCTCAAAAAGCGATCCATGGCCAGCATCATGACCTAAATTACCGTTGGTCAATAAAGATCGTGAGCGGAAGATGATACCTACCCAGGCAGAAAATTCCTGCATTGACGATTCCTTGTATCCACCAATAAGAGAGCCACATAGCACTCTTTAGAAACACCTTTTGCCACGGTGTATGTACGTATCCCCAGAAATCCGACGCCGCCCATGGCGTAATTGACGATGCAAACTTGTATAGAAGCACAGTAAAGGAGATATCCCGAAGGATGTACAAGGACGCCTTTGTTGGATTTTCTATGCCAGACAGTTAGATATCTGACCTAGACAACGCAAAATGAGAGACGGTCTTACTGTGAAGCAGGTGCTTTGGAACGGCATCGTGGATGTCTTTCAATACAATGTTTGGAGGAACGAAAGGCTTCTTGAGCCTTGCCTCATACTCAGGACCGTTGCTGAAGTAAGAGCTAGCAGACTTCTTGACGCTGGCACCGCCCATCTCAAAAAGAGAGCACAAATGGGAAGGAGGAAAAGAGGATCTTCAGACTTGAGGGGCCTGTGGCTATTTAAGAAGGAAATCTGGGTGTTAATAGAATCGGGATGTCACAGGCCGATTATAACGCGGATGTGAAAGCACCCAGTGCAACATTCCCTTGTTCCAAGACCATAGCCACAACATACCCACCGATAGAAGAGATTGCAAGATCAAAGAGAAACTCTGGTCCAGGTTTTTTATCTTCCAATGCAGAATCTTCCTGAAGTCGACCTGTCAATCTTGAAGTGAATATTGCCTCCGCATCATACATACAATCTCCTCACCAAGGAGATATTTCTCCAATTCCTTGAACTGATATATATCTGCCGGTGCAAATTCCAAACCATTCAGGCCATGTTGTTTTCATGGACGCATGCCAATTAGACAGTCCGGCTTCCTCAGAAGGTTGCTCGTTCTGTATGTTCTTAAGTTGCTTAAAATGCGTTTGCATTTTGACACATGCGAGAACTATGGCATTGATTGGTACGCTGGCGTTCTCACACCATATTTAGGTGCATCGAGATTGAAAGTCTTTGTAGAGAGCTCGAAAAGTCAGATCAAAAAGAGGCCCCTGCTCCTCGTCCCAGATTGATGTTGGCTATATCGGGACGATCTGCCATGCGCGACTTAGTCAAATTGGGTAATGGCGTGAAGCGGTGCGGGCGACAACGAACGCCTTTCAGGGCACGGCACCGGACGGGTGCACGAACAACACGTCATGGGAGAAACAGAAGTGAGACATTGAGAAAAAGATATATTACGAAAAACAGTGTTTCACTGTCTTGGGTTTTTTCTCTCCTGCGAACACGTCTATCGAATTTGTCGCCCGCTCATCCAGGGTTAAGAGACGGACTTGTGGCGAAGGCATAAATTTCTGGTAGGGCTTGTAGAAAGAAACATCACCAGAGAAAGTACAGCCGGAGGAGTCATCAACGTAGGTGACGATGCACGAGATATTCCGTACGTTCTTCGCAATCCAAGTGATGAGTGCATTGACACAAATGAAAATTGCGAAAGAT